TCCGCACCCCTGTCTCGTACGCCTATGGTAATATCGTCTGGCGTTAGACAAGTAAAATACAAGTAGGGCGCACTATATGAAACTAGCTTCAACAGAAGTTGGTAGAATTGAACTGTCAGTTTTTGGATCTTGATAGGCAGTTGATAATTCTACACATTAAAATTTCATTGCCATCAGTGACCAGTTTAATACATGGATTAAATCATTCAAAGCCATGATAGTTCTGGCTTAAAAAGGTCTTCCTCTATAGGTATACTAATACAATAGAAAACACTTTGATTTTAATAAGTAGGATCATAAAGCAGATGGTGGTCAAAAATAGCATTTTATATGGTAAAATTTGAAATAACAAATGAAACTAAAATCTGAAATTTCAATCATTTTCTTTCGAGGAAGACTGTTTTTCGTATTAATATAGTTTGGGCAACCTAATTGTATACATCAGTTGCTAAAATTGTCCACTACACAGTACAAAAAGGCTGTTTATTTCGCTTTGTTTTGACCTACTCTATCACACTGAAAATCACAAGTAATATAAAAGTATTTTTTACCTTTACAAAATAACGTCTTTCCAAAATTTCTTGAGGTTTGAAAATTCATTCACTGTCTTTCACTAGCCAGGATGATTCTTACTACTTGTGTAACTCGAAACACATGTTAAAATGTCGAAGAGAAGGCAAACACCGAGGCAAACTCCAAAACAAAAGCTAAAATATTTTTGCGAAAATCAGGGGGATGCGAAAGTGGTAGCGGGCTCAAAATGAGCCTTGCTCAGTGGCAATTACCATGAGGATTTGGGACTGGTGGCGTCATTCTGGCGTCAGCAAACGTGAAAATCCGCCATGTTTTTGGCTTCACCTTTTGATGCCGAGCACTTCCTCCAGTTATATTATAGCTCAGTGGCTGCAGCCCTCCCAATAATTTTCTAATAATCATTCTTTTTTCAAAATCATGCAGACCTCTATCATTTAAGTAATATACCTTTAAAATACTGACAATTGATTAATTTTAAGCGGCTACATTATCCATGACAAACTGCAAAGAATCTCATGATTACCCATACTGTCCAGCAACTCCTCCAATATATATTATATTTTCTCTGTTTAACAACTAAAATTTTGTTATACTATTATTGCCGTAATTTTCCGAATGGCCAAACTGATTTTCCGAATATGTTAATTCTAAAAATGTTTGGGGGTTAACCACTACGCGCCCCCCCCCCCTCTCCCCCCCAATATCCCCCCTCGCTACGGCCCTGGTCAAATGCCTATAATCGAATCAAAATTGGGAACTAAGAACTGAGAAAAACAAACTACATACATTTGTATTAGCTGTGAGACGCCAACATACAACCACAAAGAGTGCAGTTTTTTCCTGAAACAAAATGAAGAGAGTGTTTGCTAAATTGCTCAAAGAAGTGTTGCGTATTGTAAAGAATGTGGAGATGGGTATAATGAGGCTGAGCCGACTAGTCAAAGAATATGTTGAAATGGACAAGTACCGTCGCTTGCAACTAAGATCTAAGAATGAACGGTCGCAGATGAAACATTGTCTATTCTCGTCACAAAGTTCAATGTTTTTACCGAGAAATTTCGATGTTTGTGATGATCGATCATTTCCAATCGCTCAGCCAATCAATCAGGAGCTGGTTGAACGTGATTGGCTGATCAGATTGATAGTTCTTCTGATGAATCAGACCAAGTCCTTGAAAGACCCAAGCGCAAAGGAGCAAGGAAAGCAAAGGACAGGAAAGGCACCTGGAAGGATTCACATATAGACGACATGATTTACATTGTAGTAAGCAATGAGAAGTATGAAAAGAATATATATTTATATATATTTACCAATATCAAAAGTGTGCGATAATATTTTGATTCAAGGGTATCTTGAACACAACCCACCTTCAACTTTTCCTTTCATCATGAAAGAAAATGTGTGTGACCTTCCGTCACACGATGCGAAGGGTTTTGAAAATGGTTTGAGGTTTGAGATTCTTGTCTACCTGACCAAGCCACTGAGCCTAGCGAACGCGAGAATACATCCGGTACGGGAGAATCATTTGTTCCAATTAAAAGTGGGGCTGCGAAGAAGAAAGAGAATACAACAGAATTATTATTGGAAAGTATACAATCCTTGTAATTGAAATCCGAGTAATTGAAAACGATCCAATAAAAGCCATTTTTTAAAAGTTTAATGAGGGAGAACATGAAACAGGCGAGGGAACAAGATAGGCAGCTTCAACCAATGATGTTAGCTACACTTCAGCAAATATTTAGAGGGCAACGTGCAAATCAATTAGCTCATTCATGGTCAACTAACACCCACGCTGGACATACAAACCAGCCACACCTACTATATACATACACCCACTAGTTTGTTTTGCCAAACAGCTGAACCGCAAAGTTATATCAAGTGTCAGATTGTACGTTCACAAAATTTAATCACAAATATGAAAAAAAGTAATTGTTTTTATATTCGCACTGCATGCTTCCTTTATACAAGAATTCTGCAATATCATTTCGAATTGATGTACGTTTCGTAGATGCATATTCTTTAACCCTTGAGCATGTTCTAATTTGTAACAACTCCCTTATTTTGCCACTATCACGTTATTGAAATGTTGCATGATCGACTGCAAGGTGGAGATGAGGTTTCGCCTCTTTGAATAGATGTATTATGAAAAATAACACATGCCAATATATTTGCTTTTTTTAAACCATCAATACTTCATGTGGAGGTTCTATACTTCATCTATTAATTGTTAATAAATAAGAAAGGCCGGTTACTGCATGCATGTATTTCCAGAAATTCATGCATTTAGCAACCCCTCGCATTAACAGATGAAGTGTAGAAATTGTACATAAAGTATTTCATGTTTGAAATAATACCTTGCCATAAATAATTGCCATGGTAACGTGAGAATAATATGGGAAAATAATAAAAGAAATAATTTTTAAACCAAAGAATCATTGATTTTCAAAATCTGGAATGTATAGTTTTATGTTATGTGGCTTTCAATAGCCTAACATTTGATGTAAAAACGATAAACTTTATAGCCGTGCGACAATTAATTGATAAATGACACCTGTCAACTGTTCCCCAACAACAAGGGAATTGCCATTGTTGTTCATGCAGTATCGAGTATCTTCTCAAATTGTTCTTTTGATTTCTACTGATCCACCGCCCAATCTTTGGATTAAAGATTCACAAACATCACGCATCACTGCTTTAATGCAGTAATTTCTTCAAATTAACCCAGTCATTTCTGCCAAAATGTACGCTTTTTTAAATTAACTCCGTCATTTCGGCCAAAGGGTACGCTTTCTTCAAATTAACTCAGTTATTTCGGGCAAAGTGTACGGTTAATCCCCTCGTCTCTATCGGTAAAGATGTATAGTACCAAACGACATTCAGGTGATATAATGTTTCTCAACAATGATCTTTCGTTTCTTTCGTTCAAGGTCTGGCCATAACCGTTCTGGGATAAATTTAAATGAATCTCTGGACATCTAATCTTTATTAAATATATTTTGAGAATATAGTTTTTTGCAGATATTTTCTCACCAAACCGTATTTCGCCTACCTAAGTGAACTTACGCGTTGTTAGAGTGCGTTATAGAACGCAGACTTCTTCATGTGCGCAAATACAAATTTATTGAAAGCTTTTTTATCATATAAGCAAAAAGTAACAAAGGTTTTGGTATCAGACACACTCAGATTAAAACCTGGAAATCTTTGCATGCAGCAATGAAAATTCGTGTCACTCATTTGTTCTTTGGAATAGCACCGAAAATCCATATACAATCCTTATGCATACATACTATACAATACTGCACACGTCTTCGAACAACTCTTTACATCATATTTACATGTTTATAATTTTTAATTATAACAGTTATCGTAAAAATCATAACAATAATACTCGATATAAAATATTATAATTAAATAATTATGCTTAAAATCTTAATACCAATAACAATAATGTACGCGATAATGGAAAAATAAATTTTGCTAAAGCATAACCCTAAAGCCTGATGAAAAAATGTAATAACACCGTATACAGTTTATGAAACATCCTATAAACTGATATAGAATAATAACCGATAGAAATAATAATTCACAGAAATTAACAGTTATAACTGCAGGGTTCCCAATAGAATACGGCACCCGGTCATTTTCGCCGTCTATATAGCCTAGACAATCACCAGTTATTTCTCGAAATTATAAACCAAAAGTATTTCCTTCCGCAAAAATGTCAAGGGAACGGTTTCTTGCTTTTCTAACATAAATTTGACACAATAGTCTTTGTTAAATGTTTGAATAAAATGACAAAACCGCCAAAATCAAACTCTCCAAAATGGCTGGAAATGCGACATTTCAGAGGATTTCATTTTCTGAATCTTGACCGAGAGACGCCTTTGGACCCCCTCGGCGAGGGGTACCTTTGCCACCATGCATATAGCCGGCTACATCTTTCAAAATGCCTCCTGCTCAAAATTTTATTGGGAACCCTGATAAGTGCTTTAATATTGATATTTTAACACCGTTGCGAGTTAGACAAAAGAGGTCTTGAATTAATGGTGCATGTAGGATGTCTACGCCATGCAGGACGACCTCCAACACATATTCCTTCAAACCAGAAACTGCATGTACAGCGAATTTTGTTAAGTATTATCAATCGATTGAATTTAGTACACCGCTAAAGGGATTTATGATTGAGAAGAGTTAATTCTCCTGCATGAGCTGTGTTCGCAAAACGTTCGTTGAGATGTATATAGGCGTTATACCAAAACGTAAAAATCTGTGGTTTATGATTATTCATTTCTTTTCTGAAATGTTATGAATTTTATTTTATTTTATTGAATAACCGTCGTCACGTGTTGTCGTTCTACATCGCATGCATGCAAGGGTCTCTAAAGCCTGGGGATGTTTATATGAGGGGATGTTTATATGAGGGTATGTTTATATAAGGGGATGTTTATATGAGGTGCGCAGTCTCTGGTTGTTCAAAATCCAGTTAGCTTAATCTTAGGTTAACGAAATACCTCAAAGCAATCGTCCTATAACGGTTTCTTTATAAACGTGGAGTATTTTCCAAAAATCATGTCTACATTAATAGAAGTACTCTTTTCTAACGTTTTGAAATCAACGGATTTGAAGATGTATACCCAGACCAAAACAGCCGGTTAAATTATAACCCAGGGTTATAGCGCTAATCCAGCTTTGAACAACCTGGTCCCGGACAAACGAGGATAAGAGGGATACATGAGAGTTGGCAGTCTTGGAATTGTTACAGGGGACATTTCAAACTCTAGATTAACAAAATAAACGTTTGATGAGTATCCTTATAATTATATACTATGTGTTGGGAAAACATTAAGAACAGCTATAACCCACCAACTCTCATGCATGCGCTCTCATTCTCGTTCGATCCGGGCTTTCAAGGCTTCAACAAACCAAACTTGTTGATGAGTTGAATTGTGCAAAGTATGTCGCAAAAGTCAAATGCATTCTTTTTTCATGCGCACGTTTTCGATTTAAAACTATACTATATAAGCATGTATGGAGAAAAATATCAATTAAAGGGTGCCTGGTTGAACCGGTTAAACGGGTTAAACGAGGCGTTCGGCTTCACACAAGTTTTCTTTACGAAACAATTTCACTGTAAATAAATACTTGGACGAACTGTTTAACCGAGACATCATGCACTCGAGTCATGCAAACCGGGTCGCCCGATCTGGCGGGCTGAAATTTATCAGAGCAAATTAGTCACATAACTGTATGAACAGCCTCAAAGATAAGTGACTTTTTTTCTCGATGCGTACTTCCACTCTAAGGGGTCTGTCATGGCAGTTCAAAGCGTACGAGATTTTGAAATCAATTTATTTCTGAACTGATTTCCTGATTTTCGACTGATTTCAACATTTCCTGAAGATACCAGTTACAGCATTTCTAGTGCATTTGAATGCCTGAAAATAAGTTTGTGAAAACAAAATATTGTTATAGTTACAAACCATCGTCTGAAATATGCAAAAGTGAAAAGGCTTGTTCCTGCAAGCTTGGGTGATTTCTGCATGATTTCCAAATCATCTGATTTGTACTGATTTCTAACCTGATTTCTGAGTGAAGTGTACGAGATTTCTGCCGTGATCGATTCCTCATTTTGTCCGAATACAAGAACGTAAATGTAATTAATTGTATTTCATATACTGTACAGGGTGTATAAGAAAAAACGCAACCTCGGAATTTCCTAAGAAATCACTTTGCAATTCTTCAGCATAAAAGATTTTAGGCCCCTGGGAATTGAAATCAAATTGCTAATAGATCATATTACTGTTGTTTTGCATTAAATAAATACATAAATGTTGCTTTATGCAACTCGCGTGTGCAGTAATTGTGACAGTTGTGCTATGTTAAAGTCCCAGGCGCCTAAAATCTTTTGTCTAATTAAAACAATGTCGATTTCTTGGGAAATTCCGAGGTTGCGCTTTTTTTATACACCGTGTATACTGCATAGCCGTTCATACGAAAGTTAAACAATGTTTAAATCAACAATTATTTTCAAAAGTTGCTGGGACACTTGCGGTTTTAGATCATCAATATAAATGCAAATTATTACAAGCATTTTTATCTTTCTCCCCCTTCCCCCGTCCATTCAATGTTGTTTACCCAATCCAGGCATTGTAGCACACCTACAGAGTATGCTGACTAAGACCTAACATAAAACGGGGGGAGGGGGGATTGACGTTTTTCAAAATTTAATACAGGTAGTTGGGGCATTTGTCGCAACACATTTGAAAATGATTGTAGTACAATGTCTGGGAATGGCAGAAAAAAGCGTTATTAAACTTTGTTTTTACTGTCGCCATATTAAATCAAGTATTGTTTAAGTGAATGTCGCTCATATATATCTACGCTTTGTGTCATCAGTATTTGAGCCTGCTTTTAAAAAGTTGATGAGAGTTGACCATTCTCGATGTTTGATGAGAGTTTACGAGAGCTACATCTCTAATCAACTTTTATTCTCGTTTCCCTTAAAGGACATTGGATCATAGATACTTTATGACTAAATGATCAAACGTTTGTTTTTGCACTTTAAATTGGCATTGTCAGACGCAATTTTCAATATTTCAAAGTTTTTACCATGACTGGTTATGATTATGAGATTTTTCATTCTGTTCACCAGCATATCAAACAAATTAAAATGTTTCGAAGACAGATATTGAAATGTTTCTTTAAAGTTTTGAAAGTTATTTCTAACAAGCTCTATACTACATCGACTTAACTTTTTCCCGATGTCCTTTGGCATTTTCAAACGAAGCTGGCTAAATGTGGATGACGTTTTTAATATATATATATATATATATATATATATATATATATATATATATATATATATATATATATATATATATATATATATATATATATATATATATATATATATATATATATATTCAGTAGTCTTTCTTTAACTATTGACGTATTTTTATAATATAATCATTGTTAGTAATATATATAGCGTTAGTTAAAGTGACATTCCTATTCAGTGCATGGAGGTTTAACAGTGTATATAGTTTACTATTCATCGTGTTGCCACATAGAAAATGAAAAATCTTTAAAAAAGTAATTGAAAAAATATTAAATAGCTTTTATTATTTTATTGTAAATCAGCAGCGGGCGGAATCCTAGCGTTTTCTGCAATCTGATTGGCTGCAGCAGCGGGCGGAATTTTACGATATTTGACGACGGTCCGGATCCTATACGTAATGGCCAAAGCAAAGCAATAATTTTTTGTATGTTTGTTTTAAAACTGAAACTTGAAATGAATATGTAATTTTGAAATGATTTTAATGATGGATAAAATAATTGTACTATATTTTAATTGAATTGTTTGTTTTCTAAAGTAAAATAATTAAATATCAAATTTTTTTATTGTTTTGTTTTCTATATGCGCAATCTAATAAAACCGTTGCCATTTGCCTCAATAAAATTGCGCAATCTAATAAAGTCGTTGCCATTTGCCTTAAAAAATAAATACGTTATTTACCGTTTTGGTCGGGCCGGATAGGAAAATATTTTGTCTCGGTCTCAAAAACGTCCCTCGGCCTTCGGCCTCGAGCCGTTTTTGAGACCTCGACAAAATATTTTTCTATCCGGACCTCCCAGCCGGTAAATAACATTTATTATTTAAAGTATAGTGCTTTATAGAGATTTCGAGCACTGATAAAAGTGATAATTTCAAATGTGAGATTATTCATGATAATCTCACATGTGAAAATTATCGCTTTTCAATTATCGCTTTTCTGTAAAAATTATCGCTTTTCAAAGACTGTCCTTTATATATAATAAACAGAAAAATTCATGGGTGCTTGAAAATACCAGATTTTCTCGTGTTGAACATGATATCTCACTCGTTCGCTGCGCTCACTCGTGAGATATCATGTTCAACACTCGAAATAAATCTGGTATTTCCGCGCACCCATGTATTATTCTCTATATATTTAATGGTTTGTTCAAAGGAAATGCTTGGCACGGTTTGGGTGAAAATAGTTCTGTATCCGTTAAAAATATCCTATTTTATGGTCGGTTACTTTGAAAATATTCATCTTGGCCAAAAGCTTGTAGAACGACTGACTAGTTATCTACTAGTTATTCCCTAAATTTTTTTTTGTTACATTTTATGTATTTGACAACTCCCCCCGCACCTCCTCCCCCCCCCCTCATTTAATGTTGTTTCTGTCACAAAATGTTGTGCCAGATTTGCAGCTATAAAAGTTACATAAAACAACATTGAATGGGGCAGGATAAGGAGGTCCGTCGTTTTGCAGTTTTTGGACTATAGTCACAGAGCATAGTCACTCAAGGGAACTTGACTCCCCTTGAGTGACTATGCACAGAGTAAGTACATAAGAGGTCTCACTTCTGCGGGGAAATCGTATGGTAGTTTTTACTGCGCATATCTGGCGGACATGTTCTTAGCAGGTGCCTTAAAGAGAGGCATTCACCCCGGAAAATTAAATTTCAATATGTTTTCAGGGGGTGCGACAGCTTCTCTTTAGTGCTCTTGCTAAGAACATGACGGATTCAAAAAATCCTTTACGCTAAATTAACCTGATATGAGACCTCTGTATGTACTTACTCAGTGTGTTATAGTGTGCACGGTCAAAACGTTTTTGGTATACAGGTATTATGAGGTGGAAAACATTGCGGATGAAACGTAGCAGAAGTATTTGTTAGTTGCTGGGGCGCAGGCCGCAGCGACTCTAGGTTTCGGCACGCATTTGTGTCGGATCTTGGATCGTTAGCCACAAAATGAACATTACGTCATTAATAAAAAATAAAAATGACGTCATTACTATTCGTCGCTGAATTCAAGATGGCCGCTTACTCTGAGCGAATAGTATCAGTTTAATAGATTTTGTACATATTTTCTATTTTTCCGATGAAACTTAAAAGTTTTCAGATGAACCAGACTTTATAAAGCGAAAGTCATTTGATGTGAGTAAACTTGGAAGACTACAAGCTTGAAATAGAGAACAAAAGTTCACAATTTTCAATTTTACAAAGTTGGAACGGGCAAGGCAACCTTTGCAAATCGCAACAATAATATTCGCAAACTGCTGTTTATTTGGGTGCTTTTTTTTACGGCTGTTGATGCAAATAATCCTGTTACGGATAGGCGGTCAAAAGAACATGGTGTAGCCTAATAAGACCGTAATACAACCACAGTGATCATCACTCACCACTACTTGTGCGAAATTTAAACTTTGCCGCTAGGTGTCAGGCTTGTAAATCTGTAATATTTCAGTCATTTCATGATCAATGTATTGTGTTTCTAACGCCGAACAGGGAAATGTTGGAGCCACAGTGATAGACTCTTTCAAGGTCAAGATGCCATAATAAAACACAAAGTGCAAGGGCTGCAAACACAATGGAATTTCCTATAGAGTATAGGTAAATTTGCAAGGGGTATAAACACAATGGTGAAAACAATGTATTGAAAAATTAAGTAGGGGGGGGGGGGGCAATGCAACTCAATCAGTTATCAAAAGTAACTAGCGTGTCAGACTCAATGCTTCAAATAAAGCCTACTGAGGTCAGTAAAAAGGATTTATGCAAATGATTCGTACGCAAAATTCCCATTGGTCAGAAATAGATAGCTTTGTTTTTAAGGTAATATCAAATTGTTGTTTACGTAATGATATTCCGTACTTGTAATTGTACTTTAACTACTTTTGGCCATGTTAATGACTGCCTTTGCTGTCTATAAACACAGTCAATAACAGTTATTATTCTTCGATGAAAATTGGAATATTTAATTTTGAGATATTGGTGGAAAAGTTGGCCGTTATTGTCATATTTTAAATTAGCTTTGATAATCTAATGTATCAGTTAATTCCAGCAGTTCCCACCCCTGGGCCTTTGCTGCTTTTCCTAATCCCGGGGGTGGGGCTATTGCCGATATTTTTTAGCCCTGGGGTGAGGTTTTCGACGTTTTCCATCATGGGGGATTGCAAATTGCTTTTGGACAAAGCCATTTTCTTCCCAGAAATGGCTAATACCTCGGGGGGATGGGTACTGCTGGACTGATTAGTGCTGTGCGCCGGAGTTCTGCCGGAGCTCCGGCGGTTTTTCTGGAGCAGAATTTTGTATGCCGGAGCCGGAGTTACATTTTCCCAACTCCGGCAAAATGACAAGAAAACAATTGAAATGAGACAAATGTCAAACGATTGTTAGTTACTGCAAACTGTCAATTGCTGTTAATAGGAGATTTTTTGTATGTTACGTAACACATGCTCAAAACTAATGCGTATAATATATCACTTGAGGTTATGACTAAATTCAAAATTTTTATTTTTCGATACGTTTCTCAATCGGCAAACAAACTTAAAAGAAGATTTAGTGCTTTATCTGTAAAATAATGCCAAAATGAAGAGATTTTAGATGATACGCCAAAGAGAAAATTATGTCTGAAGTTTCAGTAAGTTTTGCTTATATGGCTGTAAATGTGGCGTCAATTTTAAAGCGTCATTGATAAGTGTATTTTAATTAACAATTTTTAACTATTATAAGTATTAATAATTAACTATTATTAAAAGTACAAAACAAATAAATATCAACCATTCGAAAATGACAGAGTACTTTGTTTGCGTGCAAACAATTGCGCTGTGGAGTCTGAGAGTGTTAGCGTCATGCCTCGCGTCATGCTATATAAAAATTGCAACACTGTCAAAAACATTTTCGAGGCTGGTTTCCATATAGATATTTTCTGCGTGGTTAAGTGTTTTCACTGTTTTGTTTCCTGAGTTATGTTATCTGATAATTAGGAAGCGCGAAAAGGGTTATTCATAATAATATTAATAAATGTTCTCTGATCGTAAAACATTTATTTAATATTTTATGATGTGGCCGGAGCTCAGAACTATAATTCGGCCGGAGCCGGAGATGAAAAACCGGAGTTTGCACAGCACTAGGTCTGATACGTAATTAACAATCGCCATTTTGATTGGTTGTTATTTTCGTGCATCCCAATCACTGTCCACTTTTTATTGACTTCAGTAACAGGCTCTATTTCAAGCATAGAGCCCGATACGCAAGCTACCTTCAAATGGCCTATTTGGGAACTTTTGTTGTGGTTACTTAGCCTGAGGCGAAAGTAATAAATTATAAATTGTTGTAAATGTTTTGTGAAGTGCACATATTTTCCCTGCAGTTAGGGACTAGTCCCTGTCATTGTTAAAGATTGTGTAACTGTGAAGGATTAAAAGATTTCTGCTTAATATTTTGTTCATAACTTCATGGTATAACGTGATGGTCCAGTGTAGCTAATATTCTACAATAAGCTATCGTGGTTTGTATTTGAATTACATGAAAAAGATATCTCAAACGTGATAGTCCAGTATCGGTAGCGCTCTACAATAAGCTGTCGTGGTTTGTGTCTGAACTACCTGAAAAAGATATCTCAAACGTTGTGGTCCAGTGTAGGTACTATTCTATAATAATTAGCTGTCGATCGTGGTTTGTGTCGTCTGAACTACCTGAAAAAGATATCTCAAACGTGGTGGTCCAGTGTAGGTACTATTCTATAATAAACTGTCGTGGTTTATGTCTGAACTACCTGAAAAAGATATCTCAAACGTGGTGGTCCAGTGTAGGTATTATTCTACAATAAACTGCCGTCAGGGACGCCGGAACTGGGGGGCAGGAGGGGTAGCCGCCCCCGTTGCCCTTTACCAGGAGGGGCAAGGGGGGGGGGAAGGTGCCCTTTTAATTTAAAGGATTGCCTTGGCGAAATAGCGAATTGTCAGAAATGTTAGTGCAATTCGTTTACGAATTTGCTTCAGAAAACGCAAGAAATGCAGTCATCGAGCTTCAAGAATAGCACAATCGCCTGGCGGAGAACCCCCTCACACTCCTATCATCCAATAAATAGAAAACATGATTAGGCGAAGTTCAACTCCCAATGTTTTGCAAACATCTCTTAGTATATATCAATTAAAAAGTGCCCTTTCACGAAAATCTGACCCCTTGCATTCACATCGTTCCGGCGTCCCTGGCTGCTGTGGTTTAATTGTGTCTAAACTGCCTGAAAAAAATATCTCAAACGTAGTGGTTCAGTGTAGGTAGTATTCTACAATAAACTGCCGTGGTTTATGTCTGAACTAGCCTACCTAAAAAAATATCTCAAACGTTGTGGTTCAGTGTAGGTAGCATTCTACAATAAGCTGCCGTGGTTTGTGTCTGAACAAGAATGGTTTTCTCTCCTTAATTAAACATCAAAATGTTTTGAATTTTATTCACGGCAGCTTATATAATATTAGTTTAGAAATAAGCATAGAAATATGGAGCCGCGGGAAAGCTTGAAACATCTGGTCAGTACCGTCCATGCAGTCGATCTATATCGGGCAGGCACTTACTGGCATCTCGACACAATAAAGCAATAGCTTGTTTTTGTTGTTCATCGCAGGAACCTGAGCTTCGAATGTCTTCGAGCTGAAAAACAGGGAAAAAAGTGTATAGTAATACAATTAAAATGTTCGTATCTAGTATGGTTAAATGAATGTTGGTAGCACTGTGGCAACTGACAAGCAAAAGCATCAGGGCCGTCGCTATAGTGGGGTGCATGTGTGAGGTGTGCCCCCCCCCCCCCCCCGAAAAAAACCCAAAAAGAAACATCTTGTCGGCAAAATAACGGATTTATCGGCAAATTGTTTTCGTAGTCATGCAGCGAAAATATTTGAGTGGCTCGGATTAAAAAGTAATAGTTATAGCAAAAATTTTGATAGATTTACAAAAATATTACCGGCAAAAAGTTAACAAATTACGGTACATTAAGTCGAAAGTTAGTGAGAAATTGTATGTCCGAAAAATCTTTTAATTCCAATATGTCCAAATGACTAAATAACAGATATTTGTGATGAAAATAATTATTTTCCTTTGCGTTGTGCTCGCCATGAAGCTCTAATGCTCTTCAGTGCAACATTTGATATGGTACTGCTCCCCGCTCTCCAGAAGTCCAGTAAGGGCTATCGTAATTGCGCACTGGTCCATTGCGGCCGCAGAATCAAAACAAAATATGCCGAGTTTAGTAGAATCATATCGACTGGAAGCATTTCAGCCATTTCCTACATTCGACTAAGGGGAAATACTGCTTGCATGTTGCATGTAGAATCGTGGTCGTAGCGGTAAAAATCACGTGAACTAAATTTTTATAATCTGCTCATAGGATGAGAGTTAAACCAAACGCAAACCATTCACATTTGGCTGCAAACAAGTTTTGGCAACGGTTATAATTCTTCACTTTGCCGCGCATCGATTTTACGATTGTATTTTACGATTGGTCTGGGGGCTGTGCCCCGGAAAAAAGAAATACATTTCAACCTTGCATGTGTAGTATACTGAGACTTGTTTTAGTATAAGAATATAAGCAAAACAAACAACATAGTTGAGTTACAACACAATTCCTTTATTCCCGCACAGCATTATGGGATATGTATAAATTATGCTAATATGAACCTTAATATATTACAGCATGCAATGATTATAAAGCCGGCTGAGTATGCAAATATTATTTATTATAGTACTAGTGTACCAATTTCCCAAACCAAGCACGAATCAAAGGGCATATGCGTTTAGTATCATGAAAATTATTGGGGG